TTTTGCATATTTTAGTAGTGCTCGGGCACCAAATTAAGAATCCGCAAAAAAAATTAAAAAATTTCAAAATTTGACCGCTAGGTGGCGTTTCAAAAAAAAAAGGTAAATTTTTGGTTTTGTCCATTTTTGACCACCCAAACCAGAAACAATTTTCCGAAAAATGGCATATTCGGAAACTGGAGTTCGGGTAGATAGTGATGAAAAAAAAAAATGTTGGAGTCGATCAAAAAATCTTACGAAAAACACGAAATTTTTGAAATGGTTTGTTTGTTTGTCGGCAAATTTTTTTCCGCAGTTTTTGAAAAATCGCCGGAGACCGATTTTATTCGAAAGTAGATGGAAAACTGAGCATACATGTCTCTTCGAATTTTTGGATTTCGTCGCGCAAGTGCCTGGGGTCTAGGTTCGAAAAAAAGTGGAATGCACTTTTTCAATTTTTCATCGCATGGCCTACTTTCTATGCATATGAAAGGTGAGGTAATGATCTATATGTCGTTGGAAAGCTACGAACCTCAGCTATCCAGATCTAAAGTTAGATTGGAAAAAATTTCGAAAATGATCGCTAGATGGCGCTGCATGTGTTGTTTTTTTTGGAAAAATGACCATGACTTTTTTCAGACCAACCATAATTAAAAAAATTACATACATAGTTTTCTGGTGGAAAACTGAGCGTTTGTTGGGGACTAAATTTGTGATGTTTTGGTGTGTGTGTCATATCTGGGAAAATTCCTAACGAACCAATTTTTTTCTTCAAAATTATTTTTTTTTTTCGAAAATTTTCGATTTTTGGAGAATTTCTAGATTATGGTACACGGGGTGTTTTTCAACAAAAATACGTCATTTTTGGCTCTTTGGCAAGATATTGAGCCCCCCAAGAGCATTCTGCGAAGAAATTTTGAAAAATTTTTTGTGGAGATGGTTCAATCCATTTATGACCATACTATTAAAAAATGAGGAAAAATCGATGAAAATCGTAATTTTGTTAAAAAAAATGTGTGAATAACGTTTTTTTTTTAAATCATAGATCGAAAGAGCACTCAATTTTGAACCAATGTGCACATTTTTTAAAACCAACATTTTTCAAAATTGGTCAAAATTCGAAAAAGCGTGTATTTGGCGGACCACCTTTTTAACATTTTTTAAATAACCAGGAAACTACACCTTTGTGGTCTTTATTCAATTGAAAAAAATGAATTAAAAAATCGTTGCAACTAGTTTTGAATAGATTTGGTAACCATATATACTACAAATTCACCGTAGAAATTTCTCCTTTTGTTTCGAAATTTTACAAAAACAATTAAAAATGCAAAAAAAAAAAAATTCGAGGGAAAACATAAAACTCTAATTCAATGTAAAAACAAATGATAAAAGTATGGCAGAAAGCAAAACAAAATTGGCGTGCATTGCAAGAAATCGATTAATATAAATATTCTAGATTTCCAATGTGATGAATACACACACGGGAATAATGTATAGATTATTGGTAGAAATGATTTTTTTTCTTAAATCTATACAAAAGTTTAGATATCTCAACAAAAATTTATTTTTTATTAAAAAAATATTTTCTCAATGTCAATAAATATTGCGATACATATTTATCAACGAGCGCCAAAATACATCATTTAATACAGCCTTTTCTCTTCACACGAAAGAACAACAACAATTACATGGCTACACTCGAACGGCGAGTATAGAGGATGCGACCACTACTTATGCAAACAACGTGTCTTGTTACATTGGAACGGCAACTATATAGAAGTCAACTACTACACACGCATCACTTCAACTGGCGAGTCAGTGGCGAGTCAGTGGAAGCATGTAAGACACAAACGACAACGTTGTTTGCATAAGTAGTGGTTGCATTCTCTATAGTCGTCGTTCGAGTGTAGCCATGTAATTGTTGTTGTTCTTTCGTGTGAAGAGAAAAGGCTGTATTAAATGATGTATTTTGGCGCTCGTTGATAAATATGTATCGCAATATTTATTGACATTGAGAAAATATTTTTTTAATAAAAAATAAATTTTTGTTGAGATATCTAAACTTTTGTATAGATTTAAGAAAAAAAATCATTTTTCATTTTTAATTTTCTAAGAATGAGAGAGGCAACGCAATATAAAAATTGTTTGTGTATTTGATTGCAAGCGTCACTGAAAATTTATATCAGATCATTTTCAGATTTGATGTGCAGTATTGCGTCACAGTGAGAACTTCCAAAGAAGTGTTTTTTACTTATAAAACTATACTATACTTAACTGCATTTATTAAAATTAAATTACCTCGCTCGCAATGTATCGACTACTTCTTCAAATTCATTTCGACAATATTCCCGTTTCATTTCAGTCAGCACAGAGTCCGATCCACTTTGCACCGGTACATGCAAAAATGCATAGACACGTGGTGTTTGAAAAATTTTCGCGATTTCTTCCAAATGTTCCAGAATATATGGTGGGTTTGTCATACCAACCTGATGAGCAAAATCACGAAAAATGGAAAAATAATCAAAAGAATATATATTAGCAATAACTTGGTGTATAACGTAAAAAAATGTTATGCTTCGACCCGCTTTGGTGGTAATTTTCGTGAAAAATAGAAGGTCGATTATATGTATAGTTTCCAATTTCCACAGCATAATGTCAACCTGATCCAACACAACGTTAAATTTTAATTTTGCATTTCAATTCTAATGATAAATTTCTCACAGAAAAAATAATAATAATGAATAATAATAAAAAACCTCTATCGAGGTGAAGAACGAGTGAAGAAACCAAAATTTGAAACACAAAATTGATCTGACATCAATTTTGTGACGAAAATAGTTGGTAGAGATTTTTTCGGTGTACTGTGAATAAAAACTTAATATATTATTGTACATTTAAAACATTGCAGGAATTCCTCACTTTTTACCATCCGTGACTTTAGAGTGACTGCGTCAAAGTCGAAAAGAATGCAGATTATATTCGTGCTGCAGCTTCTTGGGTGAAATACCATCGTCAAAAGGACTATCCTGGCGTTCGTACATTAACCATCGACGAGATCGATGGCATTGAAATGTACTCATGTATGCAATATGCACGATTGGATTGGACAAGCATATCGAAACGGTTCGAGCAATCGACAAAACAACTTACAAAATTGTTCGCAATCAGCCATCAATTTTCTACATGGGAGCCAGCGGATCAGCCAATTCGTCAATTAAGATCAAGAAATATGTGCGATGTCCAGGGATCCGCAAATTGATTGCAGCCATTGTGAAACGTGGCAATTGAATCATTCGACTGATAAATGAAAACATGAAATCACAACATTGTCCATTGTGTTTCAAACGATTTCCGCGATGCAAGAAATGCGTGGGTTGTGTAAAAAATCTAATTGTCGGATTACCACCACTCATTGTAACCAATGTGAGCAAGCGATTACTACAAATGCGACGTGCAATTGCACGGATTTGGCGCGCGATGCGAGTACAAAAGTATGCAAATAATTGAAATTGGTTATACAAATTGTGAAAAAATTAATATAATGTGTTTTTTTTATATCATTCGGCAGGTCAATGTGTTTCAAGCGGATTATTCTTCCAAATGTAAGGAGACGACGCCGCAATGACAACAGCCATTGCCATTCTATGGACAACTGCAACATCATTTAAATAATACTTAATTTAGAAATTTGTTTATAACTATTATTAAATTAGTTCGAGGCCAAAACCAGATGAAAAATCGCCCAGCCCGGATGCCCGGATATGCTGGAAAAATTCCGGATTTCTCCCGGAGTTTTTACAATTTTCGACGATTTTTTAACAAAAAAACTTCAATAATTTTGGATTTTTTTCTTTTTAAATGTGTGAACTTGTTGTATTTTTTATGACGACAAATCCACTTTATCAAAAACTATGGAAACATCATTTATTGAGCTTACATTGATAATTAAGTCATTTTTGTGGAAATCGAAAAATATTTCAAAGATTTTCTGAGGAAAATATTTTTGCTTTGGTTGAAAAAATTAATTTTATAGGGATTCCGCCCGGATTTTCAATTAACAAGTTTGAGTTGCATCGCCCGGATTTTGCCCGGACTTAGAGCAAATTCGCCCGGAAAATCCGGACCGGATCGACATAAAAAAAATCTGGCAGGCTTAGTTTATTGCATATGATTATGAATCAATTCATTTTTTTTCATATCAATCTAATCTATTTTTTTCATTCCATTGTGACGTTGGGTTTGACTGAAACTATACAAAAATTCGGGCCCGAATTCAACCGTAAATAAAATGTTATACATCCGTAAGATGAACTTTTCCGCACTGTGATCCACAACATGCATTTATTACATATCTTTTACCGTAAATATGAATTCATGAGAAAACTGAATCTGATATAAGTTTTGCGATACATATAATTTTTGATAGACTTTTCAATGCCTGTATGATATCGTAATCATGTGAAAATTTGCAGATGTTATCTTTTTCACAAAAAGCTAACATTCTGAAAGTTTGAAGAAATTTGAATACAATTGAGTGGTACCTTCCATTGTGTGAAAAAAATAACCTGTCTCAGCTCATTACGGTATCATACAGGCATGGCTTCGATACAAATATCCAAATTTTTTGAAATTTTTGTATAAAAAGTGTGTCGAAATATATTTGTATCGCAAAACTAACATCATATTCGGTTTTCTCGTACCCAAAAACCCCCCAATACATATTTTTGAGTATTTAAGAATACATTAAATACAGAGTACAGGGTACGCACATACATTCGGACATCGAAAAAACGACTGATTCGTGTTCCCTGACCCCGAAAACACCCAGAAAACATATTGGGTGTTAATTTTTCGACCGATTCCAATACTTTACCTTACACACTAGGTGTGCGGAAAAGTAACATGTGCCTGATAATGTTGAATTTACGTTAAAATGTAGTTCTTTGATTTTAAAATTTGGTTTTCTATAGTATAATACCAACCCTCAACATACAACCATCTGGAATGATTTCAGTTAACTTCCAAAGTAGTTGTGGTAATGAGGTGCCTATGTCTCTGCCATAGGTTCCAGTGTCTTCTGAAGTGAGCCAAATTTCACAAACTCCCTCTTTAAAGGCCTGCACTGCACGTGCTACAATTTCTTCGGGTGGATAACTGGTTAAATTTCCGCGTGAGTGTTTCGTTTTACAATAGGTACCTTAAATGATCACAAAAATATAGATTAGAGAAAAAGTTAAGGGTAATGCAATAAACACAAATAAAATTGAAACCTCTTGTAAACATTTTTACATTGCTTAAGTTTGAGAGTTTTGTCGCGAAAATATTATGTGTGGTATGTTTTGTAGCCACTGACAATTTTATTGAAATATCAAAATTTTGTCAGCTGTGAACAGAAATTGAAAAAAATTGTCAGTGGCAAACAAAAATGATCATGAATTCAGGCATTTATAAATTTTTCTTAATTTGAGAATATATTTTTTTATAGTATATCAAATTCATGACGTTGGCGTAAAAAAATAGATCAACGTCATAAATTTGATTTATAGTTAATTGCGTGTAGTAAATGGTACATTGATTCAAACATCCTGAGTTGATGGCAATGATTTCAATCAGTGGATTTTTTCGAATCTTTGGTAAGTCTAATGGCGCACCAGCCACATATTTTCCATTATTTTTTTTTGGTTGTAATAAACGGACTGTATGTCCTTTTAAAGTCTCTTCTACGACCTCTACGATACGGTCGATTTGACGAACTCCGACAATACTTAATCCCTTCAGGTAGTCCGATTTTGGTGCACCTTGAATAGAACATTTAAAAAATAAATTTTATAACAATTGCCAAAAAATAATGATTGGTTACCTTGAGGTACACAACCAGCAACAACGACATGTTTCCCTGTGTCCAAACCACTTTGAACTTCATTACGAAATGTATCTTCCGATGGATTTTTTACCGTACAACTATTCGTAAATAATAATAATAATAATAATAATAATAATAATAATATTATTATTATTAATATATAATAATTTACAATACCTATTTAACAGCCATAAATCAGCCGATGTTTTATCTCTTGTCAAATTGTACCCAAAAGTAGCAAGCTGTCCTGCCATGTATTCTGAGTCTGAGTTATTGTGTGCGCAACCCCATGTTTTTACATAAACCTTTTGAGTTCCTGGAATTATTGAACTTTGTAAAATTGTGCGTTCCACTTTATCTGCCTTCGATCTGTCTGAAATTTTTACTGGTTGTCGTTTTTTGGCTCGGACTGTTACATCTTTTTTATTCGCATATCGTTCTTTGGGTGTGATATGGTCTTGAGAAGAAATTAAATCTTCTATATCTATTTCGTTGCACCCTAAAACGTTTTCCATTTCGTTCAACTGGAAACGTACACGTTTTTTAGTTTATATTAAAAATGTTGTTTAATTATAGTTTATCGAAATTATAACTTAAAATGACAATAACCAATACTAATTTTGACTACTTTTTTGTGGTTATGTGTTATTCGATCACATTTCTTGAACATATCGATAAGCGAAGTGACAGTTTTGACAGTATTCAATAGTTTCTTAGTGTACCACTAGAGTGACAATCTTGAACGATAAGATTTTAGTCAATAAGTTGACGAATAATTATCGTTGAGTTCTTCTCTTTCAAGACGTCGACGCATTCAGTTCACTTTGTCTCTACAAATCAATTTTCAAAGGTAAATGTTCTCTCTTTTTATTATACATTGATACAATTAAGACAAAATTTTTGAAATTTTTCTCGGTTTTAAATTTAATATATTAAAAAGGTTATTTATCTTCATTTAACAATTTCTGAGTTCGAAGCTATTATTTTGTCTAATTTTCTTAAACATATAAATTTCTGATTTTCATTATAGTTAAACAATTATTATTAATTATCGAACCAAATACAGATTTATTTCACTTTAATTGAATATTGAATAGTTCAAGAATAAATTTTTCATGTTTTTTGTTTCCACTTGATACAGTTTTTTAAGAGAAATGAGTGTGATCAAATGAATCGGAAACTGTAAGCGGCCACATAACCACAATGTTATAGTGATGAAACCACGTGCAATCTTTTGCAGTTACAGTCATTGTATACAGAGACAATTAGTAAGTTTTTCGATTTTTTTAAATGTTTATTTTGAGCTTTATGATGAGTTTATGTAAAGAGACAAAGCATATACCTGAACAAAGTATGTGGATTTAATTTACTGAGAAATTTATCATAAATTTAACTGATATATTTGGAAATAATTTAGAAATATTAAGAATATATTTTTTCAAATTTCAGTGTTCGTGGACTGTATTTAGTGGGCATGACTTTCAGCCTTAATTTAGTAAGTTTATAATATATTTATTATACGAAATTATAAATATTGTTTGAATTTTAGAATGATGAATAATTTATTGTCAAACAGTTATCCCTGTCATAAGAGATTTTGATGAAAATTTGTTTTCTGAAAAAGAAAAATAATTATCCAAGATTATAACATATATTTTTTGTATTTATAATAATGTTTCTTTTTATCCCTTTACAGAACAGTTGAATTTGCTCTCCGATATAGTACATAAGGTAAAACTTCCATAATTTCCAACACTCCAAATATGTTAGGCTTTTAGTGATTTATATGATGAATTTTTACCGCCCCAGACCTATTCTATTTGGAACTAGTTAATAAAATGAGGATTGGTTGTTCTGAATTCAAACCCAATATAGTTAGGCAAAATTAGTATTTTCAAGAATGTTCCATTAGCTAATGATTTGAATTTTTTTCATTGCAGATGTGATAATATACATTTTGCGATTGCTGTAACAGGTACGTCAAATTCACAAATGATAGTTTTTAGTTAAAGTGTTTAATTAAAATAAAGCTATAAATATTTTTACTGATGAATTTTACTATACGCTATTAATATTGCTCAAGAGACACAGAGTTCTCTGAGAGCAAATTGATTACAACTTGCCCTCACTGAAAATGTTTTCATAGAAATAATATTTCTTTTTTATATTTGATGTTTGCAATAACGAAACTATCCTCATTTCTATTTTACAGGTAAACAACTGAAAAAAAGAATTAATAATGAATTCAAACTGATTACTTATATACAATAAAGTCATTCAAAATTAGAAATGTGTGTGTTTTATTTTGGTTTAATGGTAACATTTAATTAATAATAATTTTTATTTAAAAAAACGAACAGTGTTCCTTCCAATCTATAAAAAATAAAATAATTCACTTTTCATCAAGCATTTTAAGAGAGACAAATAAATGTCTTTGATTATAATTTTGAAAATTTATGTACGACGTACATTGTACGTACAATTGTTAAATTCATTGTAGTAATGTCTTTCATTTTTATCTATTTTGTTTTAAAAAAATGTCAATCCAAAGTTTAATGTCGAAAAATTTAGTTCTAAATCAATTAGTATTAGTAAAATTAATATTAGTATTACTGTTTGGTATCTTTTTGGTATAATAATCGTTAAATGTTGTAAGCATATATTTTATTGGTTCAAATTTCATGTAATTGCTCTTTCCAATTATTAATTGTTACCCGGGTAACAAATAAGTCTTAGATCTGACCTATAGATGGCGCCACAAAAATTCTTTTTATTTTACGAAAGTACCATCCTTCAAAAGACTAATGACGAAATTTGAGCCAAATCCGTTCAATGACTCAGAAATATATTTCTTGTATGTGGAAAATCAATTTCCGCCGCGTGGATTAAGTCAACTTTTGTTTGATAAATGGAACAGCGAACCTAAAACTGAACACCTGATTGTATTGTTTGGTCCCTGTTCTACCATCTGAAGCTATATGGAAACTCTCTTTTGAATCGTACGTGGTCGTACACGCAGAAATGAAGGACGCCTCAAATTACCTTGAAAATATGGGTTTTTGTTGAAAAGCTTGAATAAATCATAGGAATCGCACAAAATGATGAATTTTTGTATGCGAATACTAAGAAATAGATCTCAAACATATTGTTGGAACGTTGCGTCAGAATGGACTTAAGTGTAAGTTAAGTAAGTAAGTAAGTAAGTAAAGGGATGAATTTGTGCAAAGTTTTGAATTGACAAATGAATGAACTTTGCATAACTGAGTATTTATTCACACTACACCGAAAAAATATCTACCATTTATTTTCGTCACAAAATTGATATCAGAAATTTTGTGTTTCACATTTTGGTTTCGTCACTCGCTCCTCACCTCGTCAGAGGTTTTTAATTTGATCATTGGATTCAATCAAAAAACTTATACACGACATGAAATTGTCACAGAAGTAAATAAATTTTAAAAAAAATCGCGCAGCTTACGGCATTTTTTCCAAACGCACCCGTGAATCGCTTCAGTTTGTATTGGCGGTCGAAAAAACCAGTCATATGGAGCCACTCTTTCGATGATTTGAGGAAATGTTCTTCATTAAATGTTCTTTTCTTCTTAGAAATAAGAAGAGAATACAAACGACGCTGTGCGCGTTCAGCTATGAAAGATTATAGAATTGAGATTGAGAAGCTGTTAGAAATAAAGGAATCACTTGAAACTGCCACTGTACTGCAGTTATGGAGAACGTCCTTTATCAGACCAGTTTACAAAAATGGCGATAGAAACAAAGTTCAAAATTACCGCGGTGTTGCTTTACAGTGTATGACGTCAAAGATTCTCGTCACAGACAATCTCAATCTATATCATCATGAGAGTCAGCATGCGTTCATCAAGAATAGGTCAACGATAACTATTTGTACATAACCAAGACTTTTGACTCAGTTAAAAATTACTTATTCAAAAACTAGACATCATGGGATTGAATGAGCAGCTGTTAAAATGGGTCGAATCTTACTTGTCTGGTCGCAGACAAATTGTAAAAATAGCAGATACCAGATCTGACCCAATGGAAGTTACTTCTGGGACGGGTAAAGGATATCTCATTGGCGCTACTTTGTTCATCATGTTTGTTATTGATTTTCCTTTCGTCGTGACCAATTCTTACATACTTTCATTCACTGATGATACAAATCTTTCGAATTGTTTCACCTCAACAGATGACTGCATTAATCTTCAAAATGACTTGGATCGTGTAGCGGATTATTAGGTCGAAATTTATCAAAATTAAATGTCAACAAAACAAAGATCTTATTAATCCATCGGGGATCTGTGCAATATGAATACAAATACAACATAGGCGGCGTTCAAATTGAAAGAGTCTTTGTAATAAGGGACTTGGGAGTATTGCTTGATGTGCAAATTGAGCATACATTGGCTTGGTTAAAGTTCAACAGCAAGGATTTCGTCGATCCATGGACAATTGAACGCCTTTATTATACATTTGTATTACCAATTATCGAATATGGATCGGAAATATGGAATCCACACTACGACAATATGTGCAAAAAAATAGAGTCAATACAAAAACAATTTATCACCCACTACAAACCCGTGGAACAAGTCGACGACAGCGCTTTGACAGGTGGACCACGAGAGAAACTTATCAATCCCTATTAACAAAACTACACTTGACAGTTTTGATTAGATTTAAAGACCACCTAAACTATATAAAAAAACAATGAACCGAGAAAATCAGCAATAGCGGCACATGCATTGGAAAAACAACATTTGCCACTCACTTTAAATGATGTACGGCTGCGTGCAAGCGTCACAGACAGTAGGAGATTGGATGCTATTGAGAGCTACTATATACACAGAGATGCGACTGCGCTGAACGCTGATAACGGGAACATTGAATCATCTCTGTTCAACATTTGTTGATGTGTTTCATAAGGTTTATGTTGATATATGTGAAATTTCATTTAAATGTATGTTTGTTTTGCGTTTTTTAAAAATTCACTCTTGTTCTTGTTAATTTACATTGACATTGGATTTTGTCACTTTGATTGTGTGATTACGCCGACGGTGTGTCGACTATGTTTTGTTACGAGAGAAATATTTTTGTAGCGTTAGTCGTGTCGCTGTCGATGGCCAGTAAACTGGTTGAAAGGCATACGAATCTCAAGAAATATATTTTCTATTATTAGTTGACTCAAATTTAATGGTGTTTTACTTAATTTTCAATATATATATTGGAGTCATCGTATTTGTTCATCAATTTTATAATATACACTTGACAGTTATTCTATTGAATTTTGTACGGGATTTATTTATTATATAAATATAAAAAAAAAACAATGTGAAATGTGAATAAAAAAGATAAAAAATTAATGTCGTGACGAATTATGTAAAAAAATAAAGATTATATTTCAATTACTCAGCGGAAAGTATGCTTGAATACGCGTATACCGCTGCAAAGCGGTACCAATATATACAAACACATAAAGGTCGACCCGTTTTAGATAACATTTCTAATTTTTACACCTAATGACGGCTCATTATTTTTATTTTTATTTTATTAATAAAACTAAATTAAAATTAAAAAATGTAAGTTTTTTTACGAATGCGATTGCGTGGTTTTATTGCTCTGCTGTTCAGCAGCAGCAGGAACATATGGAGGTTAGGTGTCCTCCTGAGTCAATTTTATTAAAAAATTCAATTTTATTTAAAATTAGGAAAATTGATGTATTGTTTTATTTTATTTAAAATATTTTCATTTATAAGTTTCATCGTTGTTCCAAATTTTCTGATATTTGTATCAAATGTGGAACAAAAGAGTATCATATAGCGAACAGAAAATTTGAAACAACGATGAAACTTATAAATGAAAATATTTTAAATAAAATAAAACAATACATCAATTTTCCTAATTTGGTTTTTGTTAATTTTTCAAACGTGCATTAAATAAAAGAACTACAAAAAAATAATACAATAAAATTTACTCAGGAGGACACCTAACCTCAATATATTCCTGCTGCTGCTGCACAGCAGAACAATAAAACCACGCAATCGCATTCGTAAAAAACTTACATTTTTTTATTTAGTTTTATTAATAAAATAAAAACAAAAATGATGAGCCGTCATTAGGTGTAAAAAATAGAAATGTTATCCAAAGTGAGTCGACCCTTGTGTGTTTGTATATATTGGTACCGCTTTGCAGCGGTATAGACGTATGAAATCACACTAGCCGCTGAGTAATTGAATTATAATATTTATTTTATTACATAATTCGTCACGATATTAATTTTTTTTATCTTTTTCGTTCACATTCACATTCTTTTTATATATTTCTAAATAAATAAGTCTCCAACAAAATGTAATAAAATAATTAATATATAACTTGCTTGACACCAGATTTCGATAGGGACAACTAATGACATTTGTGATTTGACATCTCGGCCACGGTTTGGCCTGTCTGCAATTTATACTTTATGCGCTAAGGAGAATGAACTGGGACAGCTATAGACTTCCGAAATATGAGGATAGACTGCTGTTTCTACAAATTATCACGCTAAAGGAGAGACGAAAAATGAATCCAATGTGGATTATGTGATTTCTTTGGATTCTTTAAATTTTGCGACTTTCGTGATTCCTCGATTCCAACCTCAATCCGAAATAAATTTCACTTACATATTTGGCAAACGTTGGTAATATCTCATCTTTTAAATACACTGTCAGTCTTTGTCAGGGCTTGATGTGAAATGTGACACCGTACTACTTACCAGTAAAATACCCAAAGTGTTAGTAAAAGTTTTTGATGTCACCTATATAGATCGATATAAAGTGCCCAAAAAATAAATTTGTGAAAATAAGGGGAGGCCCAATCGAATTAGGGGGGCAGGGGAGTACCCCACCATGTCGAAATTTTGTCGGATCAAAAAATAATGTACTACAAAGTTGTTCAGATTGACGTAATAAGAAATTTTTTATGACTCCTGCTCTCCAAGTCCTCCACCCCCCAGGGGGGTCGGGGGTCATAACTCCTTCACCCATGTTTTTTTTTCACTCGAAACCCCAAAATTCGGAATCAGCATGTCAAAATGTCAAAATAATATAAAAATGAACCCTTGCCCATTCTCTGAATTGTTGGGAGACTTGGAATGAATGGGTTCGAGACAAATATCATTTCTAGGGTATTTTGACATACTGATTCCGAATTATCACACTAGAAGAGAGACGAAAAATGGCACAAATGTCATTCATCTTATATATCAAACAGTTTAAAATATTACGATTCAGCGCA